ATTTTTGATAACAAATTGAAAAATAACAACTTCCTCATTTTCCAATGGGAATCTGACACCTTTCAAAAATAAATCCAAAGGAAAGAAAAAATTCCAGATCTGTTATTTAACAATCATCGCACTTGCAATGTTCCTGTTTAAGTAGAAACAATTGTTAATCAACTTTTTTGACCGCGGATTATTGTTCATTCATTTATCCAGTAGGTGCTTGAATTTTTTCAATTCTAAATTTTTATATTTATAAAATTGAAATAATTTCATTGAAGGTCCAAAGTGTCTTGCGCAAGCCAGAGTACCCGTTTTAGGGCGTATTTTCAACCCCATGGGAAAAACATAAATATTGGTCCTACAGTTCCGGTAGATAGGACATTTTTTTTGAAAAATTTTCTCCTATTTTTGACCTGAAAGGCATTTGTTGACCAAATTATTTGGAAATGAAATGAAAACAAACAAAACTCTCGTCTGGAGTTTTTTCTTTTGAGGTATTGATGCGATTTCATTTCAAGCACAGAGATATAGAATAACAAAGAGTAGACTAATTTAATCTTTGGTAATAAGACTTCCTTTCGTCAGGTATTATTTGAATGTCTTAACATGAAATTATCGATAATTGATTTTTAGTCCTAAATTCACTGAATAATATATTGGACATTTGCTTTAAATTAGTAGGTGGCTAGCTCTTAACAATTTTCAAATATTTACTCACTCAACCTATATCATAACGATTGTATTGAATCGTACAGAGTGGATCTATAAAATTATCTTCCGTTTTTCGACTTGTATATATTACGGCTTTGTTCACTGTTTTTTTCTCAGTTTGTTTATATATTTTCATGAAGTTTGCATAAAAAATTTTCGAAAACACTTCTAATAGTTCTGACAAAGTTGTAGATTCCCTATTTTTCATTGGAACAGAACATATATTCATTTACAACAATGTCAAATATTGTAAATTAAATAAAAATTTGAGTAGATCGTTCATTAAACTTCAGATAAATATACTTTGGAGTGTTTTTATCCGAAAATAGGGATACCGTATGAGATTGAAGGCATTTTCCATGAGTTGAATTCTAGACTCATTCAGAAAAAGCCCATAAAAATGACGCAAAGACTAATTTATTCCTTGGTCAGCCAATACAATGGGTTTTCTGAAACAACATTATAGTCCTCATCTACTTTTATTCAAAATCTTGAGCTTTACCTTCCTATTCATTACATATGGAGCAGTAGAAGAAACCTTCTTTGTCCTGATTTTTTTTTGCTGGATATAATTGATGTTAATTGGAGAGGATCATAAAATACGATAAATAAACACTATCACCATTGAAGAGTCTTTTCATAAAGAATGCAAGTACTGTATCATGTAAGAGAATATACTACACACACAAACACAACAAAAATGCAAGTTACTGCATTCTCTTAATTTTATCCTTTAATTTTATACCTGTACTACAATGTGGGGCTTAGATATGGACAGGACTATATGAATATGAAACAGCAATTAATAGCCCAATGCAAATGTTTACGAGATCCTGGGGAGTAATTAAAATTTATTTCAGTAATATATCTGTTTTCAATTTGTGTATTTCTACCTCAATATCAGTAGGGAGAAGTAGCTCACAACAAAATATTATCTACAATAGGTCACCCTGTAGAAAATGAATCAATTGGGTTCATATTCACATATCAGTTTTCGAACTAATTTGAAATATCTTTTTTTAATATTGTCAAGTACCTATAGTTATTCAGTGAAAGTAGTTATGAAGAGAGACATTTCCATTATAAAACTTCATCATAAATTTGGAAAGTTTCTAGGGGTCACTTCCTTCTGGAAAGAAAAGAACAATAAGAATAAGGTGACTTATTCCATACAGAAGGCATACATTCACGTCTTGCTACTGTCTGCAATAGTCGGTAGCGTTTTTTCTTTAATAAACAGATCACAAGTATTTTGGACGGACAGTTCTGTTTCGCAAATAACAACGGAATTTATTGAATGCCTTACAGAGTTGTCTTTGATGGTTTCTACCTTTATGGGGGCATTAAATAACACCAACAAATGGAAAGAAATATTTTTCACCCTTCGAAAAATTGATGTTTTACTATCTAGAGAGAAATTCGATAATCACTCTCGTTACTGGTTGTTTTGTTTGAAAATACTGATTTGGCATATTATCTACGTGGCAATCCACGGTTATGAAATTCTTTTGTGGGTTTCAAAGCAAAAACCAGAAAGTGAAAATGGATACATTTTGTACAGAATTATCACATACTATCAGTTCTATATGACTTTTTTCGCAGTGAGTACGATAACAATGTTGCAGAAAAGATTCACTTTTCTTGAAAATCTCCTGAAAGATGTCGTAGCTAATGAATTTCTGATTATTTCGCAAGTTAGTAAGCAAAATGCTTTGATGAAAATCGCTACTATTCGAAAGACTTATGGAATGCTGGAGAGAATCGTTCGAAATGTCAATATAATTTTTGGATATTCGATTTTCTTTGGTACGGTGGCCAACATTTTAGTTCTTTTAGCCGATCTGAACTATATTGTAACATATAGTAATACCAACGATTTCGAATTCAATTACGGAGTTGATTTTATCAATGCCACCTATGCAACATTATATTCTGTGAGTATGAATTATCTTAAAATCATATTATTATTTATTTGTGAATTATTAATCGTGTTTATCATATTTTTTGGAATAATGTAACTATCAAAAACGAATAAAGAATGCGTTTGCATCAACGCATAGGTACGCGATGAAACATACCTACTTTTATATGGCATCCTGGCAAGAGAAAAATGAAAAGTAAACAGTTATCGCAGCCTTATTTTGGTGATAACTTACACTCAGTACATCGAAGAGAGATAGCTGAACAAACGTGAGTCGTCGGCTATTTCTTTATTTTCAGAGTGTTTGACAGCGTACATTATATTTTCATGTTTTTTATTGAAATGTTTCTACGGTTTCACTTTTTTTACAACACCGTAGCTTCATTGGTACATGAAGCTATGGTAAACGTGTCTAGAAAATTCTATTTGTAAAAATGTCTTAATTATTATCATGGTTAGTCTCAATATAATTTTCAAGTAACGGGGCAGTGTATTAATAATTTAATTTCACATCGTATTTATAAATTTTAACCTCAAATTACAAATGGCTCTACCGATTGTTAATGTTTTTACAGAATAATCCATAAAACTGCTGACGAATTTAATAAAATCGACCCAAAATAGTAACAAGGGGCTTTCGCTATTAGTGAATTTCATTTGTTTATTAAAACGTTAGGTAGTTCTGAGCAATAAACACATCGATTTATATTTTGCGATCCTGTTTAATTCAATTCTATCAAGTAATTAAAAATGATACTATTGGAATGATGCAAGCGGTGTGAATTCTAAGCTCTAAGAAATCGGGTAATTGGTTTCATCTTTTTTACTCTTTTTCTTATTATTTTTCCTTCGCCTTGTTTCTTCTTCTTTTCTTTCTACTGGGTGCAAGTAAATTGGTCTATCAGAGATGTGTCAGATGTTTCCTCGATATCTTACTAATCCCATATGTATGACCATTCATCATTGGAGCTCTCACATTCAATAAGAAAAGGAGGTGATACCATTATAAGACATTGTTTTGCATTTTCGAAAAATATATGGATGTACATAGTTGGGCTTCGAAACTTTGTTTGCTTATATGTTTCTTCTCTACATGATTCTAGTTTTGTTTTGAAAATTCTCTCTACTCTCCACAAAAACTTCGATCACCCATCAGGCAATTTAAACTATAAATATTGGTCTTATACCTACTGCAATTGTTTTTGAGATACTTATTCGCGAGAAACGAGTCCATATTTTTTGTTTAAAATATTGTATATAACTTTGTTTGGCTTGAATCGTTAATTACTGTGTCCGAAATTACGAATCGAATAATAATCTAATTATAATTTTCTGTTCATTCAAATTATAGAACAGATGGCTAGATCAGCGAACATGTTAAGAAGGCATTCTATCCATGAGAAAATAAAAATATTGAGGACTAAAAGTAATCTAATCTGAAGAGATTATTTCATGAACCTATAAAACCTTTCCATGATCTACTTTGATCGAAAATCAATCATGAAAAGTCTAAAATTATATTTTGATTACAACTCGTCATTTGATGCTAAAAATCAATAACACTATTCATGATAATTACAAATTTGCACACTATAGAATTTATTTCCAATACGCGTTTCACTGCAACAGTTACTTTCTCAGTTGGACTGGTGACCAGGGCCGTAGCGAAAAGAAAAGCCAGACAGGGGAGGGAATCCAAATTTTCCCAACCCCACCAGCAAAATTTCCCAACTTTCGAAAAAATGAAAGCCGAGAGATTTATAGTTACTACTATAATATATTAATTTTCTTACTTAGCTATCCAAAGATTTATGCCCGTTAGGGCATAAGCATTCAGCACCAAATTTTCCCAACCCCACCAGCAAAATTTCCCAACTTTCGAAAAAATGAAAGCCGAGAGATTAAAGACTTATGGAATGCTGGAGAGAATCGTTCGAAATGTCAATATAATTTTTGGATATTCGATTTTCTTTGGTACGGTGGCCAACATTTTAGTTCTTTTAGCCGATCTGAACTATATTGTAACATATAGTAATACCAACGATTTCGAATTCAATTACGGAGTTGATTTTATCAATGCCACCTATGCAACATTATATTCTGTGAGTATGAATTATCTTAAAATCATATTATTATTTATTTGTGAATTATTAATCGTGTTTATCATATTTTTTGGAATAATGTAACTATCAAAAACGAATAAAGAANACCCCGTTTTCCAAGGTAAGGGAGTTTCATTGGGCCCAGTAGGACTTAACTCTTCAATTCAAGAAAAATCAATTGATGTTAAATACTGTTTTTCTTTCAAGTAAAACCAGAATTTAAATATTTTTGGGTTATCTATGACTTGATTTTCTAATTGTTTCAATTGAAAGGGGCATTTTTATTTTAAACTTTATTGCTCTATCTTACTTCCTATCGAAATTTTCCACATTTTTTTGTATGAAATGGATAAGTTAAACCCAAAACCTTATTGTTTCTTATTCACATTTCATCTATTATATTTCAGATTTGGTAAAATATTTTTTCAACAAGTCAAGTGCCTTATATCTATGAGATATTTTATTTTTCTCCTCTTTTGGCATTTCAGCATAGGTAAGATCGAATCCATTAGGTTGAAAACAAGGGTCCCACCCGAAATCACGGGGACCTCTGGGGCTTACAATTGTTCCATCAGTTCTTCCTTGAAAAAGTATCACTTCATCCTTTTCTCCCCCTGGGTGATAAGCGAAGGTGCAAACAGCTTGAGCTGACTTGTCTTCAAATCCATGTAACATTTTATGTAAACCTTCTGGTCCCATTTTTTCTAAGAACCATTTAACGTAAGGGCCTGGAAGGCCTTTTAGGGAGTTGAAACACAAAGCTGTATCTTCTACAATTACTGGTCCCATTACTTGCCTGTGGGCCTCCTTCGCTTTTCCAATAGAAATTTCATTCAATTCACCTTGTAGCTCTGGAAGGTCTAGTTTTTTATTTACTATTTGTTTAGGAAAATCTGATCCTAGTATTAGAATTACTTCTTCTAGTTTTTTGGCGTTTCCAGTAACGAATGTAATAGGTTTGGACATTTTGTTCACCTGTTATTTAAAATTTTTTCAATCTGTAAAAATCAAATCTGAAACTGATTCCTGAAATGATGAAAGCAAAAAATTGATTTTATGCCTATCAATCAAGATAGATATGTCGGATTCTTTTGTTTAAACTAGTCAAAGGTGTACTCCTTGCAACTAGTCCGTACTCCGTATTTCAGTAGATCCAGTAATAAAAAACAAAATATTTTTGATAATATAATATTATCAGTTGTTTTGAGACAGTACAATGACTGTGGTTGAAGTTTGGCTCTGTGCTGTGATCAGTGATGCAATATTAAATATGGACTAGCCATTGAAGAGAGAACAGTAACTCTACAACTAAAAGGAGAGATTGTCGATTGTCGTCCTGGCGGGTATATGGTCTGTGCATTACCGTCCTCATACGTCTCGATGTTTTACGTGTTGCATATTTCCATGGCCAAGACGAGTGATCCGCAGGTGGAATATATGTAAAAGTGACGTCACGCTCAGTTCATATTGTCATTACTCTGGCTGTGACTATTCAGGAAATCATTTGTTTGGCAGTGACAGATGTCAAAGTTTGATCGTGTTTCACCTACTAGTAACGTTTCACAATTAGGCGATTTTCAGTATTTTGAATTTCAAATTCTTATTTGTGACTAAATAATGGTGTAAATATTTGTGGATCGTTAGTGATCCGTGTGACTTTTGTTGAACACTGTCACTAACGATGTCACTAACCAGAGCACTATTAGGACGAACAGGAAACATACTTTTTTAGTTCAAACTTACTGAAACAATTAGAATATATTTTTATGAAGTATATCTATATCTTAGGCATAACCCACAATAACCATTTTTTATCCTCAATAACTAATGGCTTATTTACAAAGCGATTTTAAGCAATACAGTATTGATCCTTATTCAATTGAGTACCTTAAATACATTGTGCATTCAATATAGATCAATATGGCCCTTTACAACATGTAATTTGAATGAATATTTTCGAAGATTTAAAATGCAGGGATACACCCGTGTGGAGCCGGGGCGAACCGCTAACTGTAACTGTATATCGGAAAAAAAGAGGTTTATGTATGATTTAACAATATGTTTTGTGATTGGGTTGAAATATGACGAATTTATTTGTGAGAAGTCGCGGAAGTGGTGCTATCCGAGGAGCTTTTATTAAAAACGTTTCCTAAATTCCGAGATAGAATAGAACATTGCTCAATTTCTCATTTCCTTCAATTTTACGGGATGACATATTTCTATCTTTGAAAAATAACCTGGCTATAACCATTTTCAATTTCAAATTAATGGTCAGATATAACGTGGTATTTGCAAAGCTATTCAGACAGATATGACACATTCGCTGATTTTACATAACATCTGATTCCAGAATTTTCGGCCGCAGGTTTCTTTCAGGTCAATCAAAAACTACTTTTTTCTGTATTTTCAGCGGTCAATACTCATTTTATCATAGTAAATATATGTTATCTTAGTCATCACGTACTTGAAAAGTCGCCGATCTGAGACGAAATCCTCTGGTTTGCTGATTTTGAAGAACATCTGATTTCACAATTTTCTGCCACAGGTTTCTTTCAGGTCAATCAAAAAGTACTTTCGTCTGTATTTTCAACGGTCATTACTTATTTTATCATCATTATTCAGTTCAATGAAGCTATATGACAGAAATTTCGCAAAAAAATGGTTATAGGAGAACATATCAATTCCTGCCTTATTTAATGTATATACCTTGTGTAATAAGGAGTACTGATTTGATTTCCACATGCCTAGATCATGGAAGATATCAAATATTTTTCAGTGGTCATTATCCCTGGAACGAAAAGTACTTCGCAATAGACTATACATACATCAATTGAATTTGTGTAGAACTCAAGGATTTTCAAAAATGTTATATTATTCCTGGTGACATTTATATAAGAGAGATATTGCAAATATTTTTCAGATTAATTTCATTGTTAATGAATAAACTGAATAATTTGTTTCTATAAATTTTATTTGATCTTACATACAAACAAAAGAAAGTAGTATTCAGTTGTAAAATGTAACGCTGCACATTAATAAAAAAATTAAAACACTACAAAATAAGTACCTATATGCTATAAAATATAGCTCTTACCGTTATTGTAATGTTATTTTTTAGAATGAATACACAACACAAAATAAATAATTATAATACAAGGCAAGATGGATTTTTTTTTACTGTGAGACATCATTGGAATTAACCTAAAAAGAAACTAACCAGAGATACATAACCTCGTAATTAAAACGTTTTCTGTTGACGTGATAATCTTATTCCTATAAAATAATATTTGTATTTTTGAACTTCCAACTAGTTATTTGAAATATTGTGAAATGCCTACTATAGGAGTTAAGCGTGACTTATTATTCAAGTCCTTGGGCAAATCATACAGTGAGTACATCAGTCACAGTTAGCTTTCAAATATTCTCATAGGTATTTTCCCTTTTTGCAGCCGATGAAGAATTTCAAACTCTGTGTTTTGAGTTTGGACTAGAATTGGATGAAGTTGTAAGTAATACATGAAAACGACAGAATCATTACTAATAATTTTTCATTCCGCAGACCACTGAAAAACAAATAATTTCCAAGGAGCAGGGTGAAGATTCAAACCTTTCAGCAAATGCCTCCGAAGATATTATTTATAGAATTGATATACCAGCAAATCGATATGATCTATTATGTTTAGAAGGTTTGGTTCATGGACTTCTTGTCTTCCAAGGAAAGTAAGTTAAATGTTGTTTTCCTGTAGTTGACTAAAAAGAAAATGCTAATGATGCAATTGCAGACTTTCTGAAGGCAATTTTGCAATCCTAATTTTGTGAATGAAAATTGAAAATCCAATATCAATTTTATTTTGGTTTAAATGTGACCTGTTGAACTGAGTCAGCTATATTTGATGCTACCTATGTAAATGTGACAACAAAATTGATAATGTAAACAGGAGAACTTTGTGTTTGGGAATGGAACGGAATATCTTTCCAAAACATTACTCAACTGAAAAAAACTAAAATGTGGAAGGTTAAATAAATACCCAAAAAACAAAAAAGTTTTTGTTTTGAATCAATCAAATAGAAGTTGTAAGAAATCATCTAGAACTATAGTACCATAAATAAATAATAAATTCTTTGAGTGAAAAATCTGAGTAATTGAAAGTGAGAAAAGTTTTTTAATAGAAGGATTTAATTTTGGTTCCATCAGCCTGACAGTTGATAAAGTAGAACCTCTTGACTTCTTTTAAAAAAGTTCAAATAAGCCTTAAGTTAACAACAAATAGACAAATAAGTGTAGTAATTGAAAGTGAGAAAAGTTTTTTAATAGAAGGATTCAATTTTGGTTCCATCAGCCTGACAGTTGATAAAGTAGAACCTCTTGACTTCTTTTAAAAAAGTTCAAATAAGCCTTAAGTTAACAACAAATAGACAAATAAGTGTACTTATGTAATTGCTGTAAATTTAGATTTTCCAAAAAGTGAAAGATTACTATTTTGTTCTTCCCGCTCAATGGTTAGGCAGGCAGAACTCCATGAATTTTATAAAAAAAAATAATAAACAGAGAGAGGGCTCAAAGAAAATAAACCCAAAATTATGGAGATTAGATTAGCAGATACAATTGGAACTTCTGGCTTTAATTAATCTAACGAAAACACTTTTTCCATACCAGAATTGAAGCTCTGTCTCCACTCCCATTTAGCTGACCAAATTCGTAATATTAAGAGATAACTAAAAATGGTCAGATCCTTAATTTCAAAGAATGTTTTTCAAATGAGTTCCACTGGCATGACTGAGCTAGTATTGAAGTTAACCCTGTTATCTAAAAAATCAGTGAAAATATTCTATGTAAATAATAATTTCAGAATTCCACAACCAAAGTTTCGAGCACTCAAACCAGTAGAAAGCAATGTGGAAAAACTCATCATAAAACCAGACACTGCAAGAATTCGGCCTTACGCAGTGGCTGGCATTTTACGTAATGTAAAATTTGATCAGGATAGGTATAACAGTTTCATAGACTTGCAAGACAAATTACACATGAACATTGCTCGTAAAAGATCTCTAGTTGCAATAGGTACCCATGATTATGATACAGTTAAAGGACCATTCTACTATGATGCAAAACCCCCCAAGGATATCAAATTTATTCCTCTTAATCAAGCCAAGGAATATACAGCTGAGGAGTTGATGACTTTGTATTCGGTGAGTAAATAAAATAGTATATGACAAAAGAAAGGTGTTGATTGTGGTATTTCAAGACACATGCCCAACTGAAACAATATTTACCAATAATCAGGGATAGCCCAGTTTATCCAGTCGTGACAGATAGTAATGGCGTAGTCTTATCTCTACCTCCAGTTATCAATGGCAACCATACAAGGATAACACTTGAGACCAAAAATGTTTTTATAGAATGTACTGCTACTGATTTAACTAAGGTAATTATCAAAACAATATTTAGTATTATGATTTATAAACTACATAAAATCATAAAAAACTTACTTGCAATTTGTTCAACAAAGGTTTTCATGTTTCTTTTTTAGGCTAAAATTATTATTGATACTCTGGTATGTATGTTCAGTGAGTATTGTAATGAAAAATATGAAATTGAGTATTGCGAAGTTGTAAATACTGACGGAACTGCAGTTTTATACCCAGAATTGGATTATAGAACAGAAATAATATCTGTTAAGAAATGCAATAAAAGAATTGGTATTAAGTATGTTCCATAGATATTGATATTTTATTCATTCTTAACACTATTTGTTTCAGTGAATCTGCTGAAAGCATGGTCAAACTATTATCCAAAATGTGTTTGAGGGCTGAACTGACCAATAATCCTGATAATATTAAAGTCACTATACCGCCAACAAGACATGATGTAATACATGCTTGTGATATATATGAGGATGTAGCAATTGCTTATGGATATAATAATATAAAAAGAACTATTCCCAAAACTAATACGATTGGCCAGCAATTTGCTGTAAATAAACTGACAGATTTACTGAGAGGGCCGATAGCAGAAGCTGGGTTCACAGAAGCTTTAACTTTCACATTGGTAAGTGATATTGAAGTAATTAGGTATTTTGTGACAGAGATTCTGAAGAAGTTTATGCATCCGCTTCTGTCAACCTAGAGTTCAGAGATCAAACCAGTGATAATTTTTTTCACAAGAAAAACTGAGCTAATTTTGGATTGACTTACATCAAGTTTCATGGTCGACTCTAATTTAAATAAAAATGCTGCTCGTGATGTAGTCAAAGGAGTTACTAGCAAGGTTTATACTATACAATGTTAATAACTGGAGCAGTTGATGTCCTTGACAGAAAAAAAATGATATTCCATATTTTACTTATTTTTGAAAGTTCTAACAATTGGTCTCTATACGATTCTCTAAAGGACATACTGATGTCATCATTGCTCATCAGTACTCTAATAACAGCCTGTATATGAGGTACGGTAGAACATTGGTTAACTCAGTGAAGGTGAGTGATTTGAGTTTCTTGGGCGATTCAATTGATACAACATAGTTCAAAGAAGAACACATCTATACTGACTGTGAATACTACATTCACTTTGAATATTATGGCACCAATCCCTAGCCCAGTACTTACTAGGAGTGAAAACAATTCAAGCATAAATAAACAAGTTAGCTAAATAATGTAACAAATTAACGAATTTACTGTCTTATAAAAATTTATTTCCAACAATATTTCACTAATCACAAACAAATTTATTTACAACGCTTAGAAACTAACGCTTATTTTATTTTCACTATTTGAATTTCTTGTTTAGCCGCTCGATTCACTTTCTGAACTGCCCTCTTGGGTCGGGAAGCCGGGCTTATATCGGTCACGGTCCTTTCTAGAAATCTGTACTCGGTTCGGTGCTAGAGTTTTACCGGTGATTCCCGACTGCATTCTTTCGCGGTGATGTCATGTGTTTGTTCGCTGAGTCGGCTGGCATATCGGTCAGGGGCGGCTTCAGATTCGTTACATTGCCCTTTTCTTGAAGACGTTTCGCCCCGAAATATCATCCTTAGCGTGTGTCGATACCTGCAGGACTTTTCATATCTTCACTGTGAAGTTCGATGGAAGTAACACTCCATAGTCTTCATGCTCGGTCGTGGAAGATGGTTACTGCACACCATAATCTTGATGCCGCTGGATCTGAATATCGTTTTCAACATGCTTCTGACAATTCTCCAATTCAGCTTGTCGAGCCCAGAGGCTAATTTCGGAATTGCCAAGTCCACAAGATTCTTGTCGAGCATCGTGTCCCTCAATCTGGTAAGACTTCTTCAGACATCTTCATAGGACGGTTTGACTCGAGAATAATTTTTGGTCATCAACTAGAAAATGTTTCTTCTGGTCCTTCTTCATCTGTAGCACTCCTCCGACTTCTGGATTCTGTTCTCGTAATGTTGGAGCGTAATCAACTGGAACCTTGAAAAGGTCTCGTGGCTCTTCTTGAGTTACCTGTCGTCTGTTCCTGGGTACCACTGTCTGGCGCCTTTCCTCTCCACCGTCTTCAGACTCCAACACCCGCTTCAGAACCTCGTTTTCCAAGGTAAGGGAGTTTCATTGGGCCCAGTATGACTTAACCGCTGGCGAATAACCTGCTACCTACTGCCACGATGGTCTTTGATTAATTTTCCTACATCCGATGACTAAACCAAGATCTGGGTAGTTTTCTTGCTCTTCCTTGATCTTATTATCCTCCCAATTATCTACAGCTGTAGTTCTACAAATAGCTGCTTCCTTCTCTTCTGCTCGTCGGTAATGTGAGCAGTCATCGGGACATGGTCTCTGTGACAGGGCATCTGCGTTTTTTACGGGGGCTTACTGATTTGGTGTTGGTTCTTTGAATGCTTGGACATTTGCTACGCACATGCCCAACAGTTCCAACATATTATTTGTTTTCTCTCGAGCAACACTTCTTTTATTACCTTTCTAATGGTGTCCTCAATATCAGTAGGCACCTGTCCATCTTTCTCGATAGTTCGAGCTTTGTTCTGGTTCTTGCAGGATTGTTTTGCAGCCTCAAATTCCGAAGCGCTTGCCAGTGCATTCACGAGATGTTTGGGACGAGCTAGTGTCAATTTGTCTAAAAAATATGTTTTTCCATTAATCAGCTGTCGCCCCCATACGAACGACAACTCTCAGAAGTTGAGAAACTTGTACGAGCTAAGGACTAACGAGGTCTTACCTTTTAACGTGTGATTCCTAACACGGTTGGAGAATCATCCCAGCTTCAACCAGATAAATTCTCTTGAGAAAAATATCTGGTCGAGGCAGGAATCGAACCCACGGTCTTCCGATCGTGAGTAGGGTGCACTACCACCGCGGCCAATTTCTGTCTCGTTTCTTGGTCGGGAAGTCCGTCCAAGAATGCCTGGATTGCTAACTGCTACATTACATTTTCCGGTGTAGCAGGATATGCCAGACGAACCAATCGAGCAATGTCGTCTTCAAATTCCTGTAGAGATTCTCCTGATTTCTGGCAGCGGTTCTTCAGCTGTGAAAGGTAAACGTGTTCTAGGTAGGCCTGCCCATACCGTAGCTCAAGATGATTTATATGTTGGTCATAGTATTCCTGTTCTTGGTCCGTGAGGGTTTGCAAAATATTCGTTGCTTCACCACGCAACGCCAGTGTTAATGCTACCACCTTTTCTCCTGTTTCGGGATTTTCCCCTGATTCAGTCAAGTAATCCCTCAGTCTCTTCTGGAGCACTGATTTCTTTCCAGAACAATTTATCTCCCTCTTCTCCAATTCTTGCTTGAATTTGGCGACTTTCGAATCCGCTAGGCGCACTTTCCTCGAACATATTTTGTCTCTTATTTACTTTTACAAGTCTATTTTTCGCAAGAAAGGTTTATCAGTTTATATTTCCGTAGTCCGGTACTGCTCACTTCGCGAAACACAACGAATCACCAGTCTCTCTGTGCGAACAAATAAGTCTTATAGTCAATTTCCTCACAATACAAAGATTGTCCACCAAGCGCTCACAGATTTATTTTACAAATCCACTTCTGATCACCAATTGTAACAAATTAACGAATTAACTGTCTTAAACAAAATTTATTTCCAACAATATTTCACTAATCACAAACTATTTTATTTACAACACTTAGCAACTAACGCTTAATTTATTTCTACTGTTTGAATTTCTTGTTTTGCCGCTCGATTCACTTTCTGAACTGCCCTCTTGGGTTGGGAAGCCGGGCTTATATCGGTCACGGTACTTTCTAGAAATCTGTAGTCGGTTCGGTGCTAGAGTTTTACCGGCGATTCTCGACTGCATTCTTTCGCGGTGATGTCATGTGTTTGTTCGCTGAGTCGGCCGGCATATCGGTCAGGGGCGGCTTCAGATTCGTTACAATAATTAACTAAAATTAACTAGGTTGGTGACAAAATTTATGGTCAAAAAGGCATTACAAAAAAAAAGAAATAATTATGAAACTCATCCAATTCATCAGCTACCGCCTCTACTGTGAACTGGATGGTAGGAATAGTACTACCTCAAATTACAAGATGTAACAGATACTATCACAGTTTTGGATTTCAAAACTTTCTTGATTATAATATCTAACCTCGAATAAAGTCCATAAAATAAAAAGGCCTGGAGGACAGAGAAAGCTATGACTCCAGAATAATTTACAGATATTTTGTCTTTATCTTCAATAGAGGGTGGCCTTAAGAGTCTGATTTGAACTCCTTGTCTCTTTCGAATAAGGAAACTCCTACTAAATACACTTGGTAGTTGTTAAGAATGGAACACGGTAATTCAGTCCTCAATCAGAAGTAATACTGAAAAATAACTCAAAACTCGTATTTTCACAATCAATATATTAAACACACATAGCCAATGATACAGGATTTCTCAGAAACTTATTTTAATTTAATTCATTGCCTGTAGGCAGCAACTAGATATGGTATCACTTTATGAGAAAAACACTATACCAATCCATAGGGCAGCTATATGCCACCAGATGTAAGCTGAGATCCCAAATGGGGAATATGCATATGACTGATGCCTAATCAGCTTTTGGCAGGCTCTGCATCTGACGTGGGGACCCTCTATACCCATCTCATAGGTAGATGCAACTATTGCAAACACCAGCCTGATTGGCCATGGTGAATTCCTCTGTATGTATATAATTTTAGCATTTCTTGCCTGATTATTATTCCAGTTTCTTAGCCTTTGTGACAGAGTTTTAGCCATCTTGTTGAGTATTTCTTTTCACAGAAATCATAAAAAGTCAACTAATTCTGTGGTATTCTTTAACACGAAAAAAATATATGGTACCATTCACTGACATTTGAGCTACGATATTTTACTTTTGGAAAAACATTTGAGGCTATCATTGAAAGGTATAAAAAGTCTACAGTATGCTCTTTAAGATAAAGGTAATAAAATAAATAATATTTGAAAATAATTACTATTGATATCATTGAAGATGATTTTCCATACTATACTTTCTCTTTTCAGTGTTCAAGAGATGATATCTCGACCAAGTTGGGCCTTGATTCTATTGATCAAGTACCTGCAGTTCATATCTCTAACCCAAAAACCCTTGAGTTCCAAGTCTGTCGAACTACACTTTTGCCAGGTATCCTGAAAACAATTTCAGCTAATAAGAAGATGCCTCTACCAATAAAAATATTTGAAATATCGGATGTTGTACTTAAGGACTCTGAAGCAGGTAAGTTCTGTTATACCTCCATGATATTGCTCGTGGTCTCCTGATTCAATATATTCTTGTCATGAATAATAAAATCTTAGAAATATTGTTATTACTGATTTTTTTCCAACCTCATTTTCATTTGAATCTTTATTTTCATCAAGTGAATTTTATTCATATATGTGTCATATTGTTAATAATAGCGATAGTAATTTTTAGGGAATGGTTGAAACTACCAGTTCACACATGCACACTAATGATATTTTTCATTTGTGTTATGTATAAATTTACAATTATATTTGTTTATATAACATCATTATCTATCTTTTTTTCATCTACAATTTCAATATGAGTAATTACAATTACGTTAACGAAACAACTGACAAAAAAATAAATGTTTCGGTTTTTTATTTGTGGAAACTGTTACAGAACCGTTCTGTAACTGTAATATTCTGAACATTGATACTGCATTGATTTGAAATGGTTCTTCAACAGTTCATAATACAGAACCAAGAAAAAAACCTTAAATGGATATCTTTATTTTGACCTCGGCAATGACTTCATTGGTCATTTGAAGGTCAACTGTAAAGTTAATTTTCTACGTCAATAAGCAAAAGAGCCAAAAAACTTTGTTCTAATATGTTCTTGATGTCATAGGTTCGTTCCACTTTTCCCAAAGATCAATAGGTTATTCAAACTCAAACAAGGTAAATGAAAAAGAAAATGAAGAAATATAAATAGTGAAAACTCGATATGTTTTTATCAGTCCTGAAAACTATGTGATTGATTTTACAATGTTGAAAAACGATATTAGAAGTATAACACTTAATAACATTTGTGAACTTGAAATTGTTTTAATAAACTATACAGTTCAGATAGTTGTGTCATGAAGAGATAAATGTAATAAAATAATATCATTCCGAGAATTTATTACTTTGTTCTTTACTGGTTTTTCAAACTGCAACTGACTTGCTGTTTTGCCCATTGTCCCTTTTGCCATATTTTTTTTCATAAGCTTCAATTTGTAAGAGTGCGTCTTATGAAGCATTCAGAAATACATTTTCCTGGTAATGAGAGTATTTTGTTCTCAACTCTGTTTTTGAGTGCTATGAAATTTCTTTAATTTGTTGTTGAGCCCTCTATTATCCGCGCGAGAAGATTTTAATGTTCTGGCTTCTGTTCCACTTTCCATGTAAACAAATCATATGATGCATGGTTCAAGTAGGACGTCCATTTCGCTTGGAGTTCAAAGTTTGATTTATTTCACAACCTTCTCGCCCCGTGAGCGGAGAGCGAAAAGGTTGCAAATTTCAGTTTCATCAAATTGTCTAATAACGTCCAACTGGAATATGTTATATTTTGTTATATTTTGAATTTGATGCTCATATGGATTTTCTTCTGCAGAGGTAGGTGCCAGGAATGAAAGAAGGATATGTGCAGTTAATTGCAACAGAACTGCAGGATTCGAAATTGTTCATGGGTTACTAGATAAAATAATGTTACTCCTGGAGGTATCATGGTCCCGTAAGAAAGATTCTGTTGGATACTATTTGAAAGCAGCAAATGGTAAGACATCGATATTAAGTCAAGATAGCCTATACTTCAATACTGATGATAAAATGTTTGGTGTGATATTGAAAAAAGGAAGGTATGGCGTATTATTAAATGTACATGTTTGGACCTTATTATTGGACCTTCTGATCATAATAGCACCGTGTGATGAATAAAACTATTTATATTTCTATTTCTTGTACTTTCAACAAAGGTTTCTGGTTCAACAGTCCAAATCTCATCCTCTTTAGTGTTAGGGGGCTGCTGGGGAACTGAACACTAAACCAGAAAAAATTAAATGTACATATTTATTAACGTATTCCAAAAACACTTTATTGTGAGATTTTCACTGGCGTGTCACGCCAGATGAAGCCATTGTATGGCGAAACACGTGTTGCGTTTTTGTAAAACAATTTAGTGAAAATCTCACAATAAAGTGTTTTTGGAATACGTTAGTTATGGATTTTCATCAAGTATCGGCCGATTCCATCATATACATATTTATTTTTGCAGATCCTGCTTATTTCCCAGGAAGATGTGCAGAAATAATCTGTCATGGAACACCAATAGGCAAAATCGGTGTCTTGCATCCTGATGTATTATCTAAATTTGATCTTACAAATCCATGTTCAGCCCTTGAGATAAATATTCAATCTTTTGTTTGAGTCTAATTGATAGATGAGTTGTTTCAAATAAAGTTGGGAGATATAATTGGTGTCAACAAAAATCAAAATAAAAAATTGATTTGTACTTTGGTTTCATTATTTATTATTTTATTCAATTGACATTGATATTTTGTATATAGAAAAATATAGATGTTTCATCATAAATTTGTTGCCTATGAGATGACTCCTTCTTTTGCTAAATATTAATTATTTTTTGTTTTAATTTAACCTTTATATGTTTGAAACAGCGAATCTGAAATAAAGGTTTCTTTTATTAAATTCATTATTTTTTTAATTATCCTGTGGTTTTTCCTAGATTCTGTTTACTATTTTTAAGATATGTGGATAGTTACTAATGAATATGTTAAAAATTAGCCGTCTGGACAAAGCATATTTTTATTTGATGAATTTTACAATTTTTATTTGATGAGTTTTAGTATCACTATTTCTTCAGGAAATATAAGATATTTTTCAGTTCAGTTGATGAACTCATAATATCAAGTACAATATATTATAAAAAGTAGGGCTGGAACCTCTGTTGTAGAATAAATCCAAAACATGCACTTTTCCGTTTACATTCTTTTCCAGTTGTTAAATTGTAATTGAAATATGAATCAAATATAGATGGTAATGAAATAAATTTAATTAAATATAATAAATGAATATAATTTAATAAACGATTGAGGTTATATCTCATTCTAATCAATGATATTAATGTTCTCTTAAACAAATAGATGATTTTCAAGCTTTTTTCATTTCTATAACTAAATATATAATTTTATCGCCAACTGTTAGATCTTTCATTTCAAATTTCATAGAAAGTTTAGTTTCAACATTGACTACCTCTACGTGAACCTTTGAAATAACAATCAAGTCAAAGATCAACAATAGAATGTGTAAATCCTTTGGAAGTGCCCTGAAATACCTGGAAGTCTTTGTACACATATTAGGTATATACAGATTTTATTTTCTACACCTACCTACATCTCTGTGTCTATAGTTTTTGGAAAATTATGTATGACAGGAGAACGTAATCTCAGAACGAGAAAGATACATAAACTCGTGATAATAAATAATTTAAATATCATCACACCCCGTCTTGGAACTTTACTATTCTGTGATGGAACCTGTATATCCATAAAAGTTCATCAGAAATAGAAATTTTAAAATATAATCATTAGAAAATGCACTTGAAAAATAAAAATCATATGCAATTAAGTAGTCAAATAATCGTGTTTTAGACTTCAACTTGCAACGAACGGTTGGGATTTACCGCCTACAATTTGAGGCATCAGTTAACGCAAACGGCTGGTTAGAAAATAAAGGAACCTCTGCATTAGTGCTATCCTTGCGAGGGCTCTGTAAGTACTGTATAACATTCCGGAGAGCAGCTAGAGTCTAAAAATAGCAAAATGTCAGCCTGCAACAAGGAATCATTTAAAAGATTGTAACACCCTCTTCACTGGTAAAATATTATTTCTCCAAATGCTCTGAGATTGTCTCTATTCCAAATCAAGACACATACGACATCATATGCAGTAGATCGGCACAATAAAACAATTAGGAAGTATGTGTTTATGATTGTCTCAGAAAACGAACTTGGGGACATGCTAGCATTCCTCCATTGATGTTAAGAACTAGAAGGAAAATGAAACTACCTTCAGACCTACTTTTTGGTTTGCCACTAGGAATGTATTCCCGAGCCGAGCCAGATACCGGAGGCTATCTAGCCGTGCCTAGCTTTTGGGCCATTTTGAGCTATTTCGGGTTCTGATCCCTTTTCACCTCTTACAGGTAGATTTATACAAAATCCACGTGTAGGTGTCCACAAATATTAGTGGTTCAGAGCGTCCAGCTCCTTTTTTTCTGCCTTTCAAGGGTCGATTTTTGCCAATCCCTGACATTACCTACATATCAGTACCAAAGGTTGTAAACTGTTTGTTTATCTGGTGGAGAAAAAAATGACTTTCAGAATGGTAGAAGCAATATCTAAAAATGGAATTTATTTTTAATGTCATCTTCATTTTTTCAAATTTCAACATTTTCAATGTGCGCGTATGCATGATTGACTTTCATAATGTTACAAAGGACGACATGTTTTTTCCTCAGGGCGAAGGATATCTTAAAAAAAAAACACATTTCTTACCTTGGCGTTGAATAAGAGCTTTTTGTTATGACTGAGCGTTAACAAATGAGTATTTTTTGTATAGAAAATGATGAATAATAATAGCCGGGCACAGCTCAATTCGACTCGAAGCTCGGCTCGATTTCGAACTAAGCCGGGGATTTAAAAGTGGAGCCGAGCCAAGACAAAGTCAAAGCTCACTTCAGTAATACCGAGTTTTTCAATGAAATCAGGAAATGACTAGAAAAAGTTCACGAATTTATGAGACAATGTCTACGGATGAAAATGCGGTTTGGCAAGAAACTACGTCTATAGATAAAAGGTAAACTGGAACCTCTTGTGTAGAATAAATCCAAAACATGCACTTTTCCCAATCATCAGAAATGCACGTTTCACCAACCAAGTTTGCGTCTTCAGGAGGAAAACAGTTTTCTTTAATTGCTGAAGATATCTATGATGAACACTGAATTATATCTGATAGTCACATATGCAAGATATCTCACAGAGAATCGAGTAAAATTTTACAAGAAAAGTACCTAAAAACTACAATCAAAATATGATTGTGGCTTTTCGGGCAAATCTAGCAAAACTCCTCTTTGAGGTAGTAAGGTGAGTTGTTCTAAGATACCTGTATTAAGTTGTACATTCAAAAATATTTGCTATACAGTCCACAAATTTTCACTCGAAAATTAATCAGAGTTCTAAAATGCGACATCAATTATGTAACATTTTCCTTGAATGGATCACCTTGGTTACAAAGAAAATAAACAACCTCATCAATTTTTATGGTTCACGTCTCCACTCTAGTCTCAAGTGTGCTGTTTTATTATTTGAATATTGTTTTAATGTTTCACCAAATGAAATGGACTCTGATAGAGAAAGTATTAATAGTCGTACAGAGTCTGAGGAGGACGACGTTGGTTGCTACTGTAAGTACAATCGAGACACGAAAGTAGTTTTAGCCAACATTATTGATTTTATGTTCAGATTTTTGTTTATAAGGTTGTGAATTCGGTTAACTGCATTTTATATGAAAACAAGTGTGACAATATTTTGAAAACCATTGGAATTCATAAAACACCTACCAGGAACCTCGTACTCATTCGAAAAAACAGTTCAAGATGACACACTTTTCTTTTTTTAGACATTAAACTGAGTTTTTACCAATCTCATCAATGACGAAGAAAATATTTATTGAAAATTTGAATCATATTATCGTATAGAAAATGATCACCCAGTATGTTAATCTAACTGAAAGTTTTGAAAAAAAAATTAAATGTCATTTCTCAATAAACCTTTTTTCTGAAGTACGAAAAATCACTCACTAGCAGTGCTAGTAGTTCGATAGGGACAAACACTGCCTATCCTCATATAAACATATGGTAAAGTACAATTAAAAAATAATGTTTTTAACAGAAAAAGATGTTCCTGGAGCAAAACTAAAATTTGCAACTGTAAAGGATAACAATGTAACATTAAGACGCTGGCTTGCATGCCGTGATTTAAAAGTTACTGGAAAAAAAGTTAATTAATAGTCAGGTTAGTATTCAGACTCTAGTAAAAGAGTAGCAGTAGATTCAAATTTTTACATGTGAATAGTTTATGTTTCTCAGGAAAAAGGCTCATTATTATAAAATCGATGTGTTATTTTTCGATTCACCTGAGTTATTTGATTAAACATCATTCTTGTCCGTTCGTATTAAATATTCATTACGAAAAGCACATGGTTTCTAGTTCTTAATTCTTGGTTGAAAAATGTTCCCATTTTAGAATTCACTTTTTGCAACATAATGAAGTCCAAATAGTAAAGATGCCCTCAAACCAAATAATAACCATAAGTACATTCTTCTTATATAGGGTCTTCAAATAATAAAATTGTTTTATCAAAGTTCTGTTCGGGCAACGTACCGTTCGCTTCGCCGTTTCACGGTCGCCATAATCGTCCTACCGAAAGGACTATTCGCAATGTGGTGGATAATTTTGAGTCCACTGGTTCAGTAAACGATCGACCAACACCCGTACGTGGACGAAACGCAAGATCTGCCTAAAACATCGTCGCTGAGAGTGAATTTGCTGAATGGGCTCTGGAGCAGTTGGCAACTGACCCTAATTTTCATTGAAAAATCATCTTCAGCGATGTGGCCCATTTCTGGATGAATAGGTTTTAAGAAAATCTGTTTTGTCGCTAACCAGCTGTCCCCCTACAAACTTCAAAAGGCGAAACTTGTGCGAGCTAAGGACTAACGAGGGCTTACCTTTTAATGTGTGATTCCTAACATGGGATGGACGATAGGATGTGAAAATCGATCGTCCGGCCTTGCGGTTCGAACCACCGGTTCATACAACGGCGCTTGAGCGAGTGTAGCACAACTCACCAGCCTACCGTCCGACGTAAACAAAGAAAATTGTCGAATTTGAGATGATACCAATCCACATGAGATCCAAGAGTGTCCAATGCATCACGAAAAAGACACTGTTTGGTGTGGATCTTGGGCTGGCGGCGTCAGCGGTCCATATTTCTTTAAAATCGACGTTGGCCAGGCCATCACTGTCAACGGTGAGCACTATAGGTCGATGATTACCAACTTCTTTTGGCCTGAATGAATCTGTAGGTAGAATTTTGTACAATGTAGATTTAGAATTTTTCAATTCTTTTTTGGAGGCATTTAAAAACACTGTGAAAATATTGTAAATTCATTATTTTCACGATTCTTTATTATTTTATTTTATATATTTTTTCCTTAAACCTAGCTTAGATTACTGTTAAATACATATGTGTGAACTTCTTAATTATCTTGTAGAAAATAGGCATTGCCGTAAATAAATAAATGAATGAATTGGATGATTTGGACTCCAACGACATGTGGTTTCAACGGCGTATATAACACACATGCCACATTGGATATTCTGCACGAGCGATTTGAGAGCATGGCCATCTCAAGTGGAGGTGATGTGAACTGGCCACCGAGATCGTGCGATTTGACTCCGTTAGAACTTTTCTTGTGGGGTTTTCTTAAGTCGCAGGTGTATGCGAATAAATCACAAACCAGAGCGGTTCTCAAAGCCATCGGTCAAATTCATCCCGATTTATGCGCTGTACAAATTTTTTCAGTAATATTTAGCCGTATCAAGAACGGACGGGATACATTACCTGAAAAAATGATTTTGGCTATGATTACTGAAGTATCGTCAATACATTCAGGTAAGGATTCCATTCAGTCGAGGATTCAGAGAGTTTTCGAGTCAGCGGAAACTCATGATAACCCATTAGTTAGGGAATCTGTAGATTATACTATAGACCACCCCTCCCGATACAGAAGGCCCCGTCGCTCGGTTGAGTGAAGGCCCCACGACGTCTGTTAAAATGAACAGTTTGTTCATCAAATACTCCAGTCAGGAAGGGGTATACAAGGCCAGGGCGGCTTAGAGGTCATTGATCTTTATGTCGTCACCAAAAAACACCTTCAGTTATGAACCACTCGTCCTCCTGACGAAAGACAGTTGAAAGGGTAAGGGAAAAAATTTCCAACCTGAAGAAAATGAAGATGACAGATGCAGGTAAGGATTGAGAAAATCCCATTATTTCGATGTTTTGAGCATCGTCCTGAACGTGGTCTGGTGGGGTAACCAGTTATATTACCTGATATTTCACCGTTACCATTTTTTACCACTCCTGCAAAACTCTGAGCGTTGTAACAGGTAATTGTTAGAAATTGAAATGAATTTGAACACTATATCGAAGAAAGATACATAGGTACGTTTAAGAAAATAAATATCTCGAAATTGAATCTCGCAATATACCTACTCAGCAGGTTCTAGTAAATGCCTCCTAAAAAATTAATTATTTCCTGGCTGTTGGCAAATTTTGATCTCGAATACTTCTTTATTTTTAGCACGATTTTTATAATTGCAGGTATTTTCAGTCGCAGACCCAGGACAGATAATCTAGGATCCCGCTGCAGAATCACTCCGTCCATAGCGTAGTTAACCAAACTCAGATTTTTACATACATTTGTGAATAGGACAATACATTTACGACAGGTTGCCAATTGAAATGTGGCCGCAAATATTTTTAATTAAAAAAAGCGAGTGTGCTTCGAACCACACGACTGAAGTAAAACTTCTTCAGCTCCATCTATATGTATGTATGTACTTACAATGGCTATATCGGAGAAACCAAATAAAGTATAAGAAATCTGAAAACCAATTTCATAATAATTGAGTTAATATGAAATAAAAAAATGGAATTAACGGAGAATTATTTTCAAAATCGGTTTTTCATTGTCAAATATAACTGAAAAATTTCAGATAAATTTCCATCTAGGTCAGGCGTACCACAAGGATCGAATCTAGGTCCACTTCTGTTCATAATTTTCATCAATGATTTCTCGTCAGCTATGAAATATATTGATTGTTTTCTTTTTGCTGATGGTTTTATACTCTTCAAATCAGTCCAAACAGTCCTAGACTGCACATATCAGCAAAAGGATGTTAATAATATTTCAGATTGGAGTTTAAAGAATAAATGTAAGAGTTTTATTGTATTGTCGTAACTCAGTACTCGCTTTGCGCGAGAGGATTTATCACTGTTTCAACCAACCCTCTTTCATCCAAATAAAGAAAGAACTCATTTAAAACTGAATGAAATATTTATTATGATGAAAACGAAAAAGATACGCTAAGGGTAGTTAATAAAATAGTTAAGAAAGATACAAAGAATCACCAAAAAACTTACATTATACTACTACCCAGCAGGGACGATGAAAAGGAGATGTGCTGCATTCTTAAAATGCTCTGGAACCGTTTCTGAAGAGTGATCGATGAATACTGAATGAATTTTTCAAAACTTTCTGTCGATCTTGACCTTCCTCAGTATTTATAAGGATTCATATGCTGAGGTTGCAACTTTCCTCTGGTCACCTTACTAAGGTAAAATGTTTAATACGCATCCGTGCAACTTTGCGTATTTGGAGATGATACATTCTTACGAAACTGCATGAACAGGTGTTTGAGTTTGGTGAATAAGTAGAAAACATTCTTGTTATCGTTCATCGTTAAAAGCTCTTCATGAACAATACTTGTGAAATGCTATTCATGTAGCCAATGTTTCCTAAATTATCCAATCCAATTTTTTTCGCAAGATTTTCAGGACAACTGTCTACTGATTAATTAGGGAGAACATCTTTCACAGAATCTGCTTCAGAACCATTTCTCAAGCTGCAATCTATCCTTCCAAGTGATGAAGGGTTTCGTAGAGGGATTGACCCGGCTCTTATTCCATGAAGTATTTTAGTAGCTTGATTTTTTCAAATAAAAATATTGGCAGCCACTTTTTGACTGGAAACCTGTCATAAATGTATTTTCTTATTCATAAATGTTTGTAAATATTTGAGTTTGATTAACTACGCTATGAACGTAGTGATTTTGCGGCGGGATCCTGTACTAAGAGATATCAACCTGCCTAGGAATCTGTGCGGCTGTACTTCAAGCGGAAATTTACGGCATTGAATTGTGTGCGGAGAGATTGGGAGAATACAACGTCATACACGAGTCAATAAAAATATTCTGGGACAGTCAAGCGGCGTTGGAAGCTCTTGACTCCTACCAAGCAATGTCTAAATTGTCAAATTGTCAAAAACGACTCTCCTCGATAGGAAGACGTAACACATTGTTTCTGGTCTGGATTCCTGGCCATACTGTTTAAAATCTGTTTTTCCGTTAATCAGCTGTCGCACCCCTACAAACGACAACCCTCAGAAGTCGAAACTTGTGCGAGCTAAGGATTAACAAGGTCTTACCTTTTAACGTGTGATTCCTAACACGGGTTGGACTATAGCAAGTGAAAATCGATCGTTCAGACTGGGGCTTGAACCACCGACCAACACAGCAGTCAATTCGAGTGAGAGAACAAAGCACCCACGTCGACTCGCCTGGCCGCTGGCCTGGAAGGTAATCAGACTGCTGATTCCCTTGCAAAGGAGGGACCAGAACCTGTTTTTGCCATCGTTTAAGGCTTTGCCAAACAGAGATTGAAACACCTGTATGGTAAGAAGATTTTATGGACTTCTGGCAGAATCTTCCAGGGTTGGCTCACTCCAAGGCGTTTATTCACCCTTCGAAGCTTGATACCAAACAGTTGTTGGACTACAGTAGGGATGAAGTACGATGTCTAACAGGCCTTACTTACAGGTCACTGTCATTCGAATCATCATATGCAGAGACTAGGACTGTCGGAAGGCAGTGTTAGTCACCTCTGTTTGGAAAATGATGAAACAGCAGAGCACATACTTTGGGCCTGCCTCGCTGGGGACTGAATCAGGTTTTTAGAGTTCGGCAGAGTCCAGAATCCAGTTTTGAAAGTATCGTGTTTATAGCTCTTTCGAATAGTCTACATCTGTCAACCGAGAGGAGTTTTCCTGGATTTCATCTTTCCTATTTTTTTATTTTTTATTATCGCAACATCATGTACTACATCGACCATTTATCAATTTGATTGATTTAAAATGATTGCGAGGAACCTCGTTACAAAACCTGATAACTTTAAAACGCTGTATCACTCTATGGATATAGCAATCTATTCTATCAAATCAATGGTTTAGATATTCTAAATATTTCTTTTATTTTCAGTTCTACAACCATCATCCACTCCATACAACATAGCAGAGAAAATACAAGAAGCTAACATTGTTCTTTTTACTACCAACCCTACATTAAGTAATCAGAAAACTTCCAGAGTCAGATTCAGAGAAGAGTTGATTTCATATGAACCAGACATGACTGATGACGACGTGAACAGTATCGAAAGCGATCATATTGAAATAACAAGCGACAGTCAAAGCACAGTAGAGTTTAAAACTACAATAAATGGAGATCTAAACATTTTCGATATTGAAGAGGTAGATGAGGTGGAAGAGATTGTCGAAGAAGTAAATAGTGAAATCGATTTCAATGTGGAAAAAGTTCAAGAGAGCAGTGAATTTATAAAAGAGAAAGATGGCGAGCGAAATATGACAAACAATACAATAAATATTACTTCTAATATGTACAATTCAATAAAGAAGAGTGGGAAACAAAAACAACAAAACCAACGTTATTCAAATATCCACAAAGTACATTGTAGAGATCACTGCATCGAAAGACTGGATTTCGATTTGTCCATGTCTATAAAAAAACTCGAAATACACGAGAAAGTGATTCTACCACCCCTTCAGCTGTTACAAAGAAAGTGTTGTGATGAGGTTAAGCAAAAGGTATATCGAAACTTACCCAGTTATAATGGTCTAAGATCGGAGTATGGATTAACGTATAGACAACTGCAGAAACGGGAAAGGGAGAAGGAAATTTCAAAACTGAAAGAACAGACACGAAGAAAGCTCATAGAAGAGTATCGCGACAGAAAAATTCAGCAAAATGAAGAAGTATTCTCTCAGTGGCTCAAAGAAATTTCGAGGAGGCGAACGGAAAAACATTCCGCTCAAAAACTGAAAATCAAACAAAGTATCACGCCCAATGTTATAAGTTTGCCCAATAAGCAGCAGGGGAAAGTTAGAGCAAGACCAAAAACTGCCAATGAATTTGTTCCAAAGACACAAGTAAAAAAACCCCGCCGGCCTCACACAACATCTTCCTGTGTTTTCATAGAAGTTCCCCAGCGTTTGTTGGAACGAGGCATTAATATAGGTGACTTGATCATCACGAATTCAAAGTTTTTTACTAAAAAATTGCATTTATTGGCTGTGTCGTGAAGTTGAGGAGAATGATTTCTGAATAAATCTACTTTGATATGGCTATTTTGCTGATGTATTTCCAGGAAATTAATTGAGGCACTACATATATTTATTTTTCTCTTGAAATGTGCAGAATTTAATAATGTAGATAGAGTAAGTTTGTTGGAAGCACTCTTCACAGTATGTTCCATTATGATTGAGTGTTGAATAAATTGGTTTTTTATTCGTTGTAGGTAGGTACAATCAAAATTTGAATACCTTTGAAAGTTAGTGCATGTTTAATAACCATGTTGGATTAGATACCTTCAAGTCAAAAAACTGACCAAATATACTAAAAAAAATATTGAATTCTTTCAAGAATAAAATTCCTCTATCTTGAAAAATATAAAAAAAGGCATTCAACAATGTTATGCTCAAATACAAAATCGTTACTTCCTATTGAACTTTTTGTATTTTGGAAATATTGAATTACTTACGTAGGTATGGTACATTCTTTTAATTTTTTGAATTTATTCAAAAAACACTTAATTGTGAGATTTTCACTAAACGATTTTACAAAAATACAACACGTGTTTCGCCACACAATGGCTTCTTCGGGCGTGTCTTCAGTAACTGATTCTACATATCCAATGCTAAATATACCTTATTCTACAATTTGAAACGTATTTAGTAACGGGGAGTTATTCAATTCTAATTGATCATTCAGTAAATTACCCGAATTTCTGAATGTATTGATTTGTAAACCTTCTAGAAGATTGAGTTTCAAACTCTTCTCTTCTAAATGTAATACAACGTATTCATGATTGAACTTATGTCCTTCTGCTGAAAGGTGGTTTGCAAATGTGGAATTGGTCTTTCCATTCACAATACTACTTATATCCTCCTTAATTCTTTGGTAAAATTTTCTCCCTGTTTGGCCAATATACCGTTTTGGGTAAGAGTCACAAGTCAGCTTATATACTCCTGATCGTTTAGTGAAAATCTCACAATAAAGTGTTTTTGAATACGTTAGTTATGGATTTTCATCAAGTATCGGCCAATTTCATAATACATTTCCTGAATTTATCAAATTCAAAGTGGCTATAATTTTTCCGTGGCTATTCGCAATAGTTTTGTTATGTTCACTCCCATCTTCACTCCTAAAATAAACATATTTTGCTTCAATTCAGAATTGCAATATTGATCCAACAAACATGCATTCCGTGGTTACCTAGAAAAATATAAATACAAGTGAATTTTACAAATGTTCTTCAATTTTTAGAAAATTATGCCAGAATACTGAAGAAATATATCAAATCATTTCAAAATTTTTCGAAAAATAATAGCATGTATTTGAGGCGTAATTTCTATTTCTCAATAATTTTTTTTAAATAAGAGTTTGAATCAACTTTAATATTTACCAAATTTTTTTTTCACTGCCTTGTTTGAAGATTGGAGCTATCAATTATTCAATATGCACCAACTTTTAATGAATATTTAAAATTCGATTCTGTAATGTATAAAAAACTACCATTTCTAATTAGTTCAATACTTGCCAATTTGAAGTGCTTCGGCAAAGTGGGGAAAATGTTCATTGAAAATTCAGCAAATAGATATCGATAATTTTCAAGTCAGATCCATCCACCACCATTGTTTCTTTTCTCGAAGTTACCAATACCGTTAGAGAATAACAAATAAAATATATGAAATTAATCCAAGAGCCACTAAATAACAAACATAATTTTCAAAATAAATACTCATCATCGAACGAATATAACGATTTGCTGATCAATTTAATATCATCAGGAGATGACTGAAACTTCAGAACTAATAATATATTATTGAAAATAGCAACGAAAAATCTCTTCGAGTGGTTTTCAAATATAAACAGGATCCCATTATTATTATTTATTTGAAAATATGTCCGAATAATAGTAATATTCTGCGGATTCAATTGTTTTTTCCAAAGTAATTTTAATGCCCAAAGAATAATGCAACTCCAAGAAAAAATATTATTTGTGTCAAATAACTACATTGATAGTGGTAAAAATAAAAAAAACACTACAGCTCTCCTGTTCTATTGATATTTGTAGGAGCTTTATAATGAAATCCAATTTCCATATAAAACGCTATCATTGCAATTTATGTTTAGTTACAAATTATATCACGTCAATTATTACTTTGAAGCGAAACTTGAGAAGACAGGGTAGAAATCATCTGAAGTGTTCGTAGAATATTTTGTGAATTTCATTCCAAATTTCAGTTTCCAAGGCAACATATATTTTTAGAGTTTCTAATACACGTACGTTCTTGAATGATTATGCAGCCGCAGGAAAAATATTGTTCTTAATATTATCTTTATTAGTTCATTGGGTAACATTCATTGGGTAAATCATGATCATGATTTATATCCATTTACAGCTTGAAATATGCAGATGAAATAAATTCCTCTTTATCAGGAAATTCGAAGACTAATGAAATTGCAATTAAAATAGACTATAATTTGTGTTTTATTGTTATACCCTATCCTTTTTCAGTTGTGGAAATAAAAAATCCCCTTTCACACTTTGCTAAAGTTTAAATTTTATTTAGTACAGATTATTTGTCATGTCCTGTTTCATGTATGGATTTGCTAATGAAAAGTGAAGTCTGTCACCAAGATAATTGTACAAATAAAAAGTACAGAGAAAATTTTACTACATAAGGATTGGCAAAGCATGGTTTTTAAACAGTAGTATATGGCCTTGATATGCAAACATATACATTTTCTTCCATTGTTTAGTGATTCAAATAATAATTCAAATGACGAAAAGGTTGGTAAATACTTAAAGTATTTGTAAAATAAAACTACATGGCTCAAACTGCTTAACATAAAAATAACACAAGAAGAACTTTATTTTTTGGGAAAGAAAGTTTTTGGCTTTCTACTACTCCATCTGATACAAAAAAATGGATGAGATGTAATGACAAATTGACATCACTCCTAAAAATATAACCCTTTCAAATCAAGAACTTTATAATGTTCGAAACGTTGGCGTAAACACATAGTCATTTTCCACGATTCCTTTGATACGCTGTCCAATCAATCCGCTATTTGAAGACAAATACGTAATGTTGAATTGGCAAGATAATGCGGGGACAATGTCAAAAATATCACATTCAATTTCTGTTTGAATGTATACATAAAAGATAGAAATAAAACAAACTTTAGATTCTAAAAATTCAGTTGGCAGTGGAACTGTATTTGCAGTTATTGTTTAAGAAAGAAAAATAATGTCTCAACATTTGTTAAAAAACGAGACACAGATCGAGGAAGATAATGAAGGTGTAGGGTTTTTCCTACAACTATTTACTATTTACGTTAGAAACATTTCATTTCCTTTGATTTTTATTTTTAGTATTATAAATTCTTGTTAGGAAATTTTAGGATCATAACTATATTATCGAGCAGGCGGACAAAATATCCATCTGCTTGGGTTTCTTTATGTGAATTCCTTTCATTCTATTTTCACTCAGTATGTTTATATTTTTTCATGGCAAATCATTGAAATATTCTATTCTCTCGAACTGAAGTTATTGCCGAAAAACACATGGATATTTCAGAATGACAGAGCCACTTGGGTAAGATTTTTATGTATTAGACAACGGCCCAAGTGGTTAATCTTCACTGGCGATTATTTTCGAAAGGGACTTGAGAAACATTTTTTAAACCGAGGGATTGATTCATTCTGTTCTGGGATTTCGGTCGGGCTAATCCTAATTTTCATTCTCCTCGCCACGAGGTTTCACTATTTTCTGTTTAATGAAATATTACTGTTTTGTAGATAATTATTCTCATTTCAGAATTTTTGTGAAAAAGTATTGGTAGATGTCGAGACCTACTCTAAATCCCATAAAAAATGGAAATGTCTTTTGAAAAAGTGCAAGCAGATGAGCAAATTCAACAATTTACATTTATCACTGTTTTAGTAGTTAATTTTAACAAACTTGCAATATTTGTCAATGAATAATTCGACTTGTAATTACGTTTTTTCCTCAATATAGTTTTTGCTAGTCATTAGTGAAATCATTTGAAATAGTTTTCTTTCCATTGAACTTGTTGTGCATGTATTTTTTTTCATTCATAACAGAAGTACAGTTTTCTTGGAATTGAACATTCATGAGCTTCAAAAATTAGTAATGTTTTCATTTTGAAATGTACAAGTGTAATTAACTTTCGTAACTATGTTACTCGTTATTACATTAAGTGTTGTATTGTCAACATTAATCTGATTATTAAATTTCTCCTCCTTCAGTGTAGATTCGTCACCTACAAGTCAACCCAGTTTTCTTTCAAATTCTTTTAAGGGTATATTCTTCCAACTTTGTATTATTGACGACCCGGAGGCTCTGTACAATTATTTGAACATCAACCTAGCATATATTTCAAGGGGTCGATGAACACTTTTCCATATAATACATGTCCCCTAATAGTTGGGTTATGGGAATTTCTCCAATAGTTTCTTTAAAGAACAGCAATTCGACTGTCAGGGATCTTATAGCCCGTAGACTTGGCACGAGAAGCAATAATCTACCAAATCTTGTTGGTTGCCTGGGATACCGTGTTCTAACATAGTCCCCTAGGATACATTGGGCTTGGTCCTGAAGCATTTCTACTGGTTGAACATCGCACAATCCAGCTGTTTCTGCAAAAAAATAGGTTTGTTAAAAGAATTCCAACATCTATTGGATACAATAAACTTTGTTTTTCATCAGTTCAGACTTCAATTGTCTAATTCTAATAGAAATGATTTGAAATCTCTTGAAAAAAACAATACAAATGGAAATTTAATAAACTTTCATTTATTCAATTCGATGAAATGATTATAAGATTGAATGGTTGGTTGTTTCACGAATGAAGAAGTTTTCATTTATAAAATGCAAAAATTGTCATTTGAGAAATACAATTGTCCAAAAAATTGATTTTGATTTATTGGCCTATTTTTGATGAAATGATGCAGACCTACGTTTCTCAAGTGTACCGGCTCAAGAAAGCAATGCAAACCTGTTGAAAAATGTTTTCATTATCAAAATTTGGTAGCTTTTGAAACACTGACGTCACTTGACCTGTTTAAAAATCTGTTTAAAATCTGTTTTTTCGTTAATCAGCTGTCGCCCTCATACGAACGACCACTCTCAGATGTTGTGAAACTTGTGCGAACTAAGGACTACGAGGTCTTACCTTTTAACGTGTGATTCCTAACACGGTTGCAGAATCATTCCAGCTTCAACCAAATAAATTCTCTTGAGAAAAATATCTGGTCGAGGCGGGAATCGAACCCACGGTCTTCCGATCGTGAGTCGGGCGCACTACCACCGCGGCCAATTCCACAACTAGAGGGTGCAGTTTGTATTCGCTAAGTGCT